GAACCTACACCGATACGTCGCTCTTAATTGTATTAAAGAAATTGTTCAAACATAAATCTTATCCTAATCTCATTAAAATCAGATCTTAGTTCTTGCTGTCGCTAAACAAAGATCTGACGACATCCCATAACAGGTCACTTCAGAACGCGAAAGTGACAGTCGGAATGTGTTTCTGATTATGGGTATTCGGAATGACAGTTACGGCCCGTACGACTGATTCTGTCAAAATTATCGTCTATCTCTCGCTTCCGGATAAACATTTGAATGGAGGAGGCGTTGCAAAGTATGTGGAAAGCACTGCCATACAATCTCAACTTAGACATTCCGGAATGTTCATTTGTTCAGATTTCGAAATTTAAAACGAGAACTGTGTCAACATATTTTTCAAAAGTGGAAGTCGCCAGGTTGAAACGAGTGCCGTAAAGCTCAAGAAAGCTGCTTTCTAATTGGCTGATGTCGACTTCTTGTTAGTCATTTTAGAGGTTGGTCAAAGTTCGGGAAAGGTCGTTCTGACGTGACCCGTAATGGGATGTCCTCAGATCTTTGTTTAGAGGCAGCGAGAACTTAGATCTATTTTAATGAGATTGATCTTATCCTTACTTATATGCTTACTCATTCACCTGATGAAGAAGAACCCCGAAACATTGTGTTCCTCATAATTTTAAGAATTGAGGGCCTAACTGTATGAACATCAAAGTTTGCGACGACGTTCATACAATGTTTGGCCCTGACTCTATGAAGGTTCATACTCCAATGAACTCATACAAAGTGAAAGTCAATTTAATTTTTCGATAATTTTTTTATCACAATTTCTTACCTCAAAGGATGTAGGCCAAGATCTAAACACAATTTTATTTAGTACGTGTGACTTCATGTTTACAGTAACTGCCATACAACAACCAGCTATATCGCGGAGTAAAATAGTTCCTCAAAAAGAGAGGTGACATGAGCGTATGGATGCACAACTTGCTCTTCTGAAACATCTTACACAACACATGTGAGTGAGTATGAGTGAGTATGGTTTTACGCCACTTTTAGCAATATTCCAGCAATATCACGGCGGGGACACCAGAAATGGGCTTCACACATTGTACCCATGTCAGGAATCAAACATGAGTCTTCGGCGTGACGAGCGAACGCTTCAACCACTCGGCTACCCGACCACCCTCACAACACATGTGTTCAAATCATATCCTCATTTGATGAGAAAGGTCTGTAAAGAACTACCTCAGTAAGTCAGTCACAATGACAGTGCATCATAATACATTTACATCAAGTACAAGACGTCACAATGACAGTGCATCATAATACATTTACATCAAGTACAAGACGTCACAATGACAGTGCATCATAATACATTTACATCAAGTACAAGACGTCACAATGACAGTGCATCATAATACATTTACATCAAGTACAAGACGTCACAATGACAGTGCATCATAATACATTTACATCAAGTACAAGACGTCACAATGACAGTGCATCATAATACATTTACATCAAGTACAAGACGTCACAATGACAGTGCATCATAATACATTTACATCAAGTACAAGACGTCACAATGACAGTGCATCATAATACATTTACATCAAGTACAAGACGTCAAAATGACAGACAGGACAGATTTCCGAAGTTGTTAATGAACCTGTGGCGGTTACATGTGTTAGTCATCATTGATCAACTGGTCGATCATTGAAAGGTGAATAAAGATGCGTCAAACAGACACTAAGGTAAATTCATAGATTGCTGGAGATGGTCAATGTCAGCCTAGACCCGGATCGAGTCGATACTACGATAGTTTAGATGTGCATTTCTTCGTTTGTTCATTAGGATGGGCCGTAGCGAGGATATTCGTGAACAATCATGCAGTCACGCTCTCTGACATTTCTCAATGTATACTGAAACACTGAGACCAAGAATAAAGGTTCTAAATGATCAGAAAAAAACGGCTATATTGTTTTCGTGCAAGGGAATTCCCAGGGGTTTCCCCAGCAATGTGGAAGTAGTCCGTCAGTGTTTACGTCATTTCAAGAACACGGCCTCATGAAAAATGTATGAACGTCAAATTGTGTCATTCATACACTTATGAAAGTCAATTTCGAGGTCATGTGACCGACCTCTCGTCCTATGGTAAACTTTAAATTAAAAATGATAAGAAGTTGACATCCACAAATTCTCTTCCTTATGTGTATCATTTCTAACTTTCTAAGACTTGTTTATGTGGTGTTCAGTGGTGAGAGAAGTAGACACTCAAGAACATTGTTAGATTCTTCTCATTGTTCTTAAAATTTAGACTCAACTTTTATATGCTATACATCCAACCTGCTATATTAATATGCTATGTACATCCAACCTGCTATATTAATATGTTATGTACATCCAACCTGCTAGATTAATATGTTATGTACATCTAACCTGCTAGATTAATATGCTATGTACATCCAACCTGCTAGATTAATATGCTATGTACATCCAACCTGCTAGATTAATATGTTATGTACATCTGACCTGCTGTATTAATATCTTATGTACATCCAACCTGCTAGATTAATATGCTATGTACATCCAACCTGCTATATTAATATGCTATGTACATCCAACCTGCTAGATTAATATCTTATGTACATCCAACCTGCTAGATTAATATGCTATGTACATCCAACCTGCTAGATTAATATGCTATGTACATCCAACCTGCTATATTAATATGCTATGTACATCTGACCTGCTGTATTAATATCTTATGTACATCCAACCTGCTAGATTAATATGCTATGTACATCCAACCTGCTAGATTAATATGTTATGTACATCTGACCTGCTGTATTAATATGTTATGTACATCCAACCTGCTAGATTAATATGTTATGTACATCTGACCTGCTGTATTAATATCTTATGTACATCCAACCTGCTATATTAATATGCTATGTACATCCAACCTGCTATATTAATATGTTATGTACATCCAACCTGCTAGATTAATATGCTATGTACATCCAACCTGCTAGATTAATATGTTATGTACATCTGACCTGCTGTATTAATATGTTATGTACATCCAACCTGCTATATTAATATGTTATGTACATCTGACCTGCTGTATTAATATCTTATGTACATCCAACCTGCTAGATTAATATGCTATGTACATCCAACCTGCTAGATTAATATGTTATGTACATCCAACCTGCTAGATTAATATCTTATGTACATCCAACCTGCTAGATTAATATGCTATGTACATCCAACCTGCTAGATTAATATGTTATGTACATCCAACCTGCTAGATTAATATGCTATGTACATCCAACCTGCTAGATTAATATGCTATGTACATCCAACCTGCTAGATTAATATGTTATGTACATCCAACCTGCTAGATCAATATGCTATGTACATTCAACCTGCTAGATTAATATGTTATGTACATCCAACCTGCTAGATTAATATGTTATGTACATCCAACCTGCTAGATTAATATGCTATGTACATCCAACCTGCTAGATTAATATGCTATGTACATCCAACCTGCTAGATTAATATGCTATGTACATCCAACCTGCTAGATTAATATGCTATGTGCATCCAACCTGCTAGATTAATATGCTATGTACATCCAACCTGCTAGATTAATATGTTATGTACATCCAACCTGCTAGATTAATATGCTATGTACATCCAACCTGCTAGATAAATATGTTATGTACATCCAACCTGCTATATTAATATGTTATGTACATCTGACCTGCTTGATTAATATGTTATGTAAATATCAACCCACTAGATTAAGACAATTTATGTATATCCTACCCCTTAGATTAATATGTAATGTATATCAAGTATACAAGTGTATATATTATGTACCGGTATATCCAATCTGCTTGATGTATATTTCATGTATATCATAAGAACATTTTTAAAGACAACCTTAAAACGTTATCTAGAGGTATATTTGTATTAATCCAAAGTCCTGCAAGAGAAAGAAACACTGACAACCTCAGAAACATGTCAGTGAAACCTTTGATTCTACATGACAGTCTGGATAAATACCTCTATACATTGTGTGTATCAGCACACTACAGGCAGACTGTCCGACTGTCCAACACACAACCGACTCCCGCCTACCTTAGCCTCTAGAACCAGGTCAGCTCTATCTGTCCATGACCCAAGACAATCATTGCGTCTCCACACAATACAATAAACACCTATCAGCTTCTACCAAGTTCAGTTCAAGAAAACATGTCCACATGCACCTCCTACAGACATTTGGCCGGACACAACATAAAGGTCACAAACATTTTGTATGTTTCGAAACGGGTGGTTTGTCAGTGGAAGCTTCTTATAGGTCGTAGGTTACAGACAGGTAGAAGTATTGATTGTAAGCACCAAGTATGTGTGTACTGGCGTGGATGTTGAATAAATAATCATTACTATTCAAATGTGGATGACAATGATCTGCTGCATCAAGGAGAATGAATAATCTTTTGTTGGAAGATGCTGGCAATCAAGTCATGTCTACAGTCCACTATGAGCTACACATAATAAGCAATATATCTGATGACAACTTTAATAATTTGGAATCAGGGAGTTCCATCTATAAAGTGTCCTGTCTCTGCTGGGACCCTCTTGCTTGTCCTGTAGTTAACAGCTTCCTGATCGCCCTTTACAAGTACATTTGTGCAGCTCAATATTTATAATTCTATTTGTTAACTGATGTTTAGATTTTTATCCTCATCCGTCCCACTTTCGACGGCTCCACTTCTGACAGACCCTCTTCTCAACGCACCACTTCTGACAGACCCTCTTCTCAACGCACCACTTCTGACAGACCCTCTTCTCAACGCACCACTTCTGACAGACCCTCTTCTCAACGCACCACTTCTGACAGACCCTCTTCTCAACGCACCACTTCTCAAGGCCACACTCTCCACTGCCCTACTTCCCACACCACCCTACTTCCCACAACCCCACTTCCCACTGCCCAACTTCTCATGGCCCCACTTCCCACCGCCCAACTTTCCACAGCCCTACTTCTCCAACCACACTACTTCCTACCGCCCTACTTCCCACCACCCTACTTCCCACTGCCCAACTTCTCATGGCCCCACTTCCCACCGCCCCACTTTCCACAGCCCTACTTCCCACAACACTACTTCCTACCGCCCTACTTCCCACCACCCAACTTCCCACTGCCCCACTTTCCACAACACTACTTCCTACCGCCCCACTTCCCATCGCCCCACTTCCCACCACCCCACTTTCCACAGCCCTACTTCCCACAACCCCATTTTCTACCGCCCTACTTCCCTATGCTCGACTGCCAACTGCCCTACTTCCCACCGCCCTACTTCCAACCTCCCTACTTCCCACTGCCCTACTTCCTAACGCCCCACTTCCCACCACCTCACTTTCCACGGCCCTACTTTCCACAACCCCGCTTCCCACCGCCCTACTTCCCACCGCCCTACTTCCAATGGCCCTACTTCCCACCGCCATACTTCCAAATGCCCTACTTCCCAATGTTCCACTTCCCACACCCCCACTTTCCCTACCTCCCACCACCCGACTGCCAACTGCCCTACTTCCCACCGCCCTACTTCCCACAGGCCCTACTACCCACAACCCCACTTCCTACCACCCTACTTCCCACCACCCCACTTTCCACGGCCCTACTTCCCACAACCCCACTTCCTACCGCCCCACTTCCCACCACCCCACTTTCCACGGCCCTACTTCCCACAATCCCGCTTCCTACCACCCTACTTCCCACAACCCCACTTCCTACCGCCCCACTTCCCACCACCCCACTTTCCACGGCCCTACTTCCAACAACCACGCTTATACACCCCACCTCACCTCATTGTATTGCCCCCTTCCTACCAATGAAGAATACTGCAACATGTCTTCCAATTGGATTTACTTGATGAAATACAGTGTACATATGTATTCCTACCAAACACTCCTGCTTTACGGGAATCACAGTTGACACTATGTCCACAGATGTCGAGAAAAGTTTGTTAAAAAATGTAACCATAGCAAATATCATGTCTATTGTTCGGCATTAAATCTTAACCAACCTGAAATTATGCAACTCAAACATGCTACCAAACTTGCTACTCAACAAGCCACAGGTCACACTTTAGTTTGTTTCATATCTTGTGCCACAGGGATAATATCTTATTTATCCACAGTTTCACACTTACATGTGACTTTCTACACATCCTTGACTGTGCACACCACATGCCTAGTATGTGATAATGTGGCTATTTTCATACAGGTTTTCAACACTGCATGTATTTCATGGTCAACAAATCAGGGCCCAAAGTCATTTTCTTTCTATTTCCAACAGGACTGGAGCACCTGTACCGAAACTTTGCATTGAAAGAATAAAGAAGATGAATTAACTTAAATTAACCCTGTCACCAGTGAGTATATTAACAACTGAGCAGTCTGGCAAATAAAGATAAAAAAAACTACAATTCAGTTTCAAAAAATGGTTTTGGGCTCCGGTCTGTCGAAGCGGTAAACAGAAGAATTAAAAAAGTGTTGCCCTTGTATGTGTAGAGGTTCCATCATGGGTCTTGTTGCTCCTATAATCCTTTATCTAGCAGTGCTTATCTCAGGTGGTCAGCTGTCTTATGGGTAATATATTGCATGTCAAAGGTCACGGATCATGCATCATATTTCACAGGTTACAAATCATGTGTCACTCACACTTCTGGGAGGAGGTCATATAACTGGGGTGAGTTGGGTTTAATGCCACTGTGAAAGGCATGTCAATTATATCATGGTGTGTCAGCTTCATGTGGAACAATTCCTAAGTGCTAAAGGTCAAGGACATTCCTGACAGTGGTGAAACTTGCAAGCATTGTGATGGTGCTGACAAACCAAGGAATATTCTCAGGGTGCATATGGAACCCACAATCAATGGAACCTGGCAGCTATGGAACAATTCTGCACCGAGAAATCACATGTCATATATCTGAACTTGTACACATTACTTGTTACAGATCCTATTATTAATATATGAACATTGGTGATAAATATTGCCAGTGTTACTCCTGAGTGTTTGAGTGAGCTTCGCTTAATGCTAACAGTTTTCAAGTTGTACCACTGTGTCAGTTTGATGTGGGAGGTTGGCCCAAGGGATGCAGGTCTTACACATGTACTTCTCTGGTGTACTTCTCGGGTACAGTGCTGATAAATCTAGAATTATAATCAGGTAAGTTTGGGATTAAAACCAAGGATAAGAGACTTTGGCACACCTATGGGACATAACTCTGCACAACAAAACATGGCAGCCAGACCAGTGAGCCACATTTGTCACCATAGTAACAGTCAGCCACCTACCACGACCACCTCACGTCACATGCGAGTAAAGGTCACACATGATAAACATCACATTTGTTCTTTGTCACTAAAATATGTTAAAACTACAGTTATTTTTGCTTGATAATTATTCAAGGTCAGATATATATATGCAATCACTAGTGCATATGTTGAGGTGCAGAACAAAACACACATGAGATGTCTCATATCTTGATAAATACACATTGATGAAAATCATAAAACAGTTTTGGAATTTGCTGACAAATATGCAGAATTTCTGCAATAACAATTTTAATATCACAATGACGTTATATACAGTTCTTTAACAGAACCCATTTTCAGGCCCTGATCCAAGATACCAACAACTTTTTCTATTGTCACCATTGAGAGATTAAACACTTGTAGATCACACTTCAACACTGTAGCTCCCACTAGAGTATGTCTGCCATGGTAGAATGGTGATGAACCTACCATGTTGGCTGTGTAGTGCTCAGGCTATAGTACTACCCTTCAGTTTATTTTGAGTGTAAATCTCCAAGATCAACATGACCCTCAAATTAAAACTATTTTTGTAAGTAATGCTACAGAAGCAATGTCTCACAACAATCTCATTGAGAGAAGATACCTCTCTGCACAAACATCTGAAGACTCCGCATAGGAGCTTCCAATCTGCCAATCAGCGTCTAGGCTTCTCCATTCTGAGTACGAGTGATCGAAGCAATCAGACCAGCATATCTGATTTCTGTATCTTGAAAACAAACATAAATGGAGGAAATCCAAAAGCCAACAATATATTGCAGAGTTGTGATCAGAACGTTCACGCGAACTGCTATTGTGGTGTCCTCTGAGCTTCTTCTACATCTGATACCAGGTGTTGACAGAGGCCAATACTCCCTTCCCGGCTGATGATGTAGATGATGAGAACTGAGTCCATGCAGGAATAGATGAAGGAGTAAATGAGTTCTGGTGACAGTGACAATGCTATGGATGGGAGACAGGAAACAATCTGTGTGGGGGGGAAATGCATACAAGAATCAAGTGCAGGGTAGGGAAGTATTACCATCATTTCCGACTGAGTGAATGCTGTTAACCTCATCAGTCAGTTACAGGTATAGTTAAGTGAATCCAGTTAGATGTGTTACGTGTCATGCAAAGCATAGAAAAGCATGACAGAGTCATTAAACTGGCAGACTGGCAGTGTTTTAATTTATCATAGGAGTTTTGTGGGGGTGGAAATAATAGCCAGTTAATTTATATGAACTGTAAGTTTTGTGAGGAATCGGAAAATGGGAAAAGCACATGTGAGCTGGTATTTTGTAGTCAGTTCACCAGATCAGGAATAAATCAGGACAAAACGTATGTATATGTTTTATATTCATCATATATACAGGTGTGGGGTGAGGAACGTAGGGTGTGTGGTGGGTTATGACAGCTAGGATATTGATGGTGAATGTATTCTCCACACATGGAAAAAAATATCTAGTAAAGCTTCACACAATTACTAGAGAATAAGTTCCTGAAGAACAAATTTTCAAAAGGTATGAACACAATTACAACAGCACCTGTCTTCCATGTAGGGCGTGGTGATAATGTCCCTTACATAAGCTGCCTCTCCAGTCTGTCCACACTGATTGGTCTCAACTATGTCAATGTCCTTTCTAATCCTTAAAACCCTAAACATGTCTTTCAGACCAAGCCCACGTGTCAACAAACCCACTAGTGAATACAACATTGACTGTCACCCATTACCCAGTAATTCAATACTTCTAAACACACGCAGGCACTATACAACCTCAGGGTACACACACACTGGACTAGCACCAGGTCCCTTGGAGGAAAGTGCCAGTTACATTTATATTGGCTTGGTTAACATGTCTTCAGTGATTGGCAGCTCGCTGAAGTGTTTAGAAGTCACACTGGATGGGTCAATGAACCTCACAAAACCTTTTACAAAACTGTGATTCTCTCTCTCTCTCTCTCTCTCTCTTCTAATAGATACAGCTACAAGCTATAAACTAAATACATTACTGAAGGCACCTTATAACAATATGTGTATTGTAATAGAGACAGCTACAAGCTATACATTACTGAAGGCACCTTATAACAATATGTGTATTGTAATAGATACAGCTACAAGCTATACATTACTGAAGGCACCTTATAACAATATGTGTATTATAATAGATACAGCTACAAGCTATACATTACTGAAGGCACCTTATAACAATATGTGTATTGTAATAGATACAGCTACAAGCTATAAACTATATACATTACTGAAGGCACCTTATAACAATATGTGTATTATAATAGATACAGCTACAAGCTATACATTACTGAAGGCACCTTATAACAATATGTGTATTGTAATAGATACAGCTACAAGCTATAAACAATATACATTACTGAAGGCGCCTTATAACAATATGTGTATTGTAATAGATACAGATCCTAACCTCCTTATGATGAATATATATACTAAAGAAGTCTAAATTAACTTACCCCAATCAGTGCAGTGCTGTGAGTCATGCAGAGTTGTAATGCAGCAGTGACCAGAGAAGAGAAATATTGGAGTGTTGAAAGCTAAAAACCTGGTCACATGCTACAGAAACACTAGAATAGGCAATCACTGGCCAAGCTGTGGCTGGACCAGATCACTAAAGACCTTACATAACTATACCCCGTACTTTAACTGAGGTTTAGAGAGAGAGAGAGAGAGAGTGAGTACGGTTTTACGCCGCTTTTAACAATATTCCAGCAATATCACGGCGGGGGACACCAGAAATGGGCTTCACACATTGTACCCATGTCGGGAATCGAACCCGGGTCTTCGGCGTGACGAGCGAACCCTTTAACCACTAGGCTACCCGACCGCCCCCACTGAGGTTTAGAAGAGAGTGCTCAGGTTAGTTTAAGGAGCTATTACCATCTTTAACTATTTACCTATTTATCTAGGTATTTACCTAAATTCAAAATACGTAAGTTAAAATACACACTATTTACATTCTGCTACAGTTGTACTTTTGGAGAAGCAAACAGGACTAACAAATGGAAATCAATAAACATCTGAACATGCTTAAAGAACAGAATTTCAAATAACCTATTTTTTCATTGGAAGCGCTCTCCTGGTCAGCACAATTACTTCCCAAAGGGCACACCTAAACATCCCTATGCGTGCCCGGTGGCACTTATGAACACATTGACATATCTAACCCTGCAATCTGCATTTCTGTGCCCAGCTATTGATTTAACCTTGTTGATCATTGCTTCTTATCAGAACTTTCACATGACATATGCCAGTCTTTGTTGAGAAATTTCTTGGATGAATGGGCAACTTGCGCTGTGGTCGGTGCTTTCATTTTCCGTGTCAACGGAAATGTACGGAGGACAACACTTGATGTACATAACCTGTTTGTTTGTTTGTTGATTGTTTTGCAAGATTCCAGCTACATGAAGGCGGTCTGTAAATAATCGAGTCTGGACCAGACAGTCCAGTGACTGACATCATGAGCATTTATCTACACAATTGGGATACGATGACATGCATCAACCAGGTCAGCAAGCCTGACCGCCAGATCCCGTTAGTCGCCTCTTA